CAGCACCTTTCAGCCCAACACACCCAATTTCAGCAAACTCCTAATCAGCTGCCTTTTACAAGATGCTTGTTAGGGGGCAGTGGGTCGATATTAATCCCCCTGCCCCCACTTTCCCCACAATACTGGGGCTCCTGAGCCCACAATGGGATATTGGAGACCAACCAGAAAGCTTATTATGAACACTAAGTACTGGCAGCTTTCAGACCATAAACATCAACACTTAAAGAATATCTTGGCAGACAACAGCAATGACAATCAAACATATACAATAACACATTTTTGTGATGTCAAGTATTGATATACCTTCACACAGGTTCTTATCATCATGATGCTATATTTCCTTTGAAGTAAACAAGGCAGGCCAAGCAAGGGTTCAGGCTGCAAGGACAACACATGGTCTCTACAGTACTGACCAGGATAATCACCTTTTCTAACTGTGGAAGACTTTCCTTAATGCGAACAGGTCTTGCTAATCACACTCACCATCACCATGGGTTCTGACTCCCTTGCCACTATATAGCACAGTAGTATAACACTGTTGTCAGGAAAGATGGGAAGGTGACAACATCATCATCAACCTGGTGTACTGTTTATATTCCATTTGGGGCTCACAGCCTACTCCCATAAAGACGGCATTAGTTTTACTGAAAACTGAGGTCTGAGATCTTGTCTGTGATCACTTTGAAAAAAGGTCAGGCCAGAACTGTGGGCTGGTAACACTGACCCGTGGGTGACTAGATCCCATAAGAAGAGCAAAGAACAGGAAAACAATGTTAACTAGCATGCTTGTTGAATCAGCTGAACTGGAGGGGGGAGGGTTGTGCCAGACAGGGGGTTGGACACGATCGGTCAAGGTTTTTCCAGGGCTCCCAACTTTAAATGACAATGCCACAGCCTGTCTACTACTTGCTCTTTTCAATCCCAGAAAAGCTGACAAATGGTAAAGGGCATGAGAATGAAGTTTATGAAAAACAATCATGAATATAAGGCTTTCTCAATGGCTATATTAGCAGTAGATGTGAACATCATCATCATCAGGTAACCCACATTTCTTTACTAAGCTCTGGTCAAAAGCAAAAAAAAAAAACAAATACAAGAATAGATTACTTTACATAAGTAAAGTAGAGGACCCTTTTCCACATCTTTCAGGTGTACTGGGTATTTAGGGCTAGACATATTTTATAGACCAACAGCACAAGATGGGTGATGTGGTCAACATCACGCCGGCCACCTTTACTTCCTAGGACTGCACCCGGTACCCACTCAAGGCTAGGTCGACCTGGGAGCCAAGGTCATTTTTTTTTAAAAAGTCCGGCTCCACCAGTGTGCGAACCCACGTCTTTCCGAGATTGCTTTACACAATCATTGGAATTTGCAGGTAGGACCAATCATACAAGATAAGCTTGCTGGAACTGAGAGAGTAATTGTTTTTTAGGCCACTGTTTGTTCCATCCACTTTTCCCTATATACTGGTGACAATTTCCAACCAGAAATTGTGGCAGACATTTTTTTTCATCAGAATAATTTTTCAAATTTCACTGGCCAACAGAGATCAGTCTTCCAAAACCTTTATTTTTATATTTTACATTTATCCTTCAAAAAACATTTATTTATACCCTATGTACACAACATAGACAAAGTCTGTGAACGGATAGTTTTGAAAGTCTACATTCTTCAGTCAAAATCTGCTATTAGTGTCCAGCCTATGTGACTAAATAAGAAAACAGCACCACCAAAGATCTGCGAATCTGGTTCATCGATTGATGGAGTTTTAATCTATGATAAAAAGATTATCAACATCATAAGAAAATCTTAGATTGTACAGGTGTCCATTTCCAATCCAAAGAAGCTTTTAATGTGCTTTTAAGGCCTCTTGCATGATGTGCTGCTCTATGTATATATTTTGAAAAGCATTAGAGACAAGAATCAACTTTGTGGAAGACCAGCATAACTATTGCACTAAATTACTGTTAATGTTATCACTGTAAAACCTCGCCAACATGAATTCTAAGAGACCAAAAATCAATGTTAATAAAACTGATACCAACTGGGTTCACCTCTTCACTCATTAGGTTCAGGATTTCCACCATAAGAACACAAGGCACAACATTACTGTTGCGGATGTGCTCATGTTATATTATAAGCCTTTGTATAATATTTACATTTGTTCTAAAAAAAAAAAAGAGAGAGAAATAAATATTTTTAACCTGTGCAGATACACAACAGCAACATTCCTTCATCGAGATCTGAAATGAAAAGTGTAATCCTGCACCAAAATATTGAAAGGGAAGATTGATCTTGCAGAAAATTTCAAAGGCAAACACTAATCCTGCACCAAAATATTGAAAGGGAAGATCAATCTTGCACCAAATTTCAAAGGCAAACACTAATCCTGCACCAAACATGGGGGGAGGGGACCCTAAAAATAGTAAAAAATAATTTCTTTTGAGAGTCTAATCTGACAAAAAAAATTAACCTGACAAACAATTATTCCAACAAGTCAATGTAAAAATCAGGACACATACACAGTTTCACAAAGGCAAACAGGCTATTGTAAACACAAATACAATTCATTCCATTGCACACATAAATATTTCTTGATATGCTAAGCACTGCAACTTTCACTGGGTAGTGCTGGAAGAAACCACACACAAAAGTGAAAGGCAATGAAAATTAAAATAAAAAGTAAACATTTCAGACCATTACTTCCATTTGTGCTACACAATTTCTCGGCCATATGCAGACATGATAATGCTGTGAAAAAAAACACACAATATGTATTTCTGCCCAGCTATGGTTGTGAAGATAATATTGGTGAGGTGTTTGTGCGTATAACCACATATATAACACCACGGTACGGTAAAAGTCAAGCAAAAGATCCTTTTTCCTGCCCTGTTTATACGGTGCTAGACCTGTATCTCATAGATCAACAGGTCATGTGGTCAGCATCATGGCACCTGCTTTTTTTTCCCCAGGACTTTACAAGGTATTTAGTTTAGGCTGGGTTGAACCGGAAGCCTACGTCATTGTTTTGAAGAAACAACCCGACAGGATGCGGATTTGAACCCACAACCACTGGAAATGCAGAGAAGTATCTAGTGACTACGCCGCGGCAACTCCTCCCATATACCATACTAACCACATGAATACCATAGTGACCACATATATACCATTGTATCCACATCTAGATTACTGTTAATGTTAAATAATGAAACAATGCACAAATGTTAATAAATAAAACACGAGACCCTTCACAATAAAACACAAGTGCTTCATTTGGAGACAGCATGTCAGCAGCTCTTCATGAGAAACAACCACCAGGTCAAATCACAGACAATGAGATCAGGCTTATACAATGAGATTCAATAACACAAAAACTAAACACACAGAAAAGTAAAAACAACCTCACTGTTGTTTGTAGATACTGTCAACTCTTTCCTGACATTATATTACTGTATTAGACACATACACACACTCTTTTTCTCTCTCTCTCTCTCTCTCTCTCTTGTTGTACCCCACCAGGACATCACACAAGCGATAAACAACCGGTGACACAATGTGCCACCATGTAGATGAGGGTCATCCATGGAGAGGTCCCAGAAACCCCTTTCAGTCGTTAGGCCACATTTAATATTAGACTCTTCTCCTTCTGTCCTACTGCTTATGCCCTAAAGTGCCACAGAGAGGAAAATCAGATGCAGTTTTCAGCTGGATTATAATCAGCCTAATGAAACTGTTGAGAAAATTATTTTCTTCAAACCTCAGTTTTTGATGTCGAAAAGCAAAAAGGTCATGTGCAGACAAAGCAATATAAACTCACATCTAAATGAAAAGTCAGCTAATTTTACTGAGGCTGAACAGTTTTTAAAATATTGAAAGCATGCAAACCTCCTAGAGGGAAGCGGAAACCACCACATTAATATTCCATCCACAAGCAATGGCAAGGCTAGATGTATAATCTGTCAACTAAATAAACAAGTCTGTGACAAACAGTTGTAAGTAGCACGGTATAATACTGTTACAGCTCTATATCATACCATCTTTTGCTGGTAACCTCTTTGCCATGTTAATACAGTTACATAAAATTTATCAAATGAATCATGAGCTTGGTTAATCAATCTAGTGCCATCTCCACAGTGAAGGTTGGTTGAAGTGGATCTCCAAAACCTTTTGTCTTTCACCCTGGATATGGACTCTCTCAGACTGCTGTTGAGTCATCTCTTGATGTTACACTCACACTTGTTTCACCATCTCCCTCTTGCCTTCAGTTGTTTCCTCCAATAATCATGACATGGTTATAACCTAATATACTCAGAAGATGTGAACTTCCAATACTAATCTTGCATGTGCTGCTGGTTTCTGAGCCTGAAGAATGTTTTCTCTCACATACATCATCACGACCATCTTGTGCGATGCTGATAATGATAAGCAAGGGTGATCATTGTTCAGCATCAAACATAAACACTAGCCTTTAATCATATTTGCATTCTTGCTCCTATTATGCCAGGGGGCCAAGCCATTCAGGTTTTATCTTGTCCTTCATTTGCTTTTTTTTTTTTTAAAGACAGTTCATTTCTCCTCATAAAACTCAAACCACAATGTATCTGGAATATACACTGGTGGTTTCCCCTTACCTACCGCTAGCATTTACTTTATGTTACATTCAGCAAAATCAATCAGAAATCTGACTTTTATGTTACCATTCAAGCACCTCATAAACATTAGTAGAGAAACTGAAACACAAAATTCAAACTGTTCACACACCCACATACAAGCCAAAACCCATCATCAAAAATGAACTACTCTGTATATTTTGTTCTGTTTACCTCTGCCGCAAATGACAAGAAAATGTCTTTATTATGATGCAATGTGTGTAACTCCTTGACCGTATGTTGCGAAAGACATTGGATCCACTAAGGCCTTCAGATTATGGGCGAGGTAAAGGTTTCCTAGCAGTAGCTCGAGTCTGTGCTCTGGATCGTGGCACAGTTCCGTAAGTATTAATCTGTTTTTTCTGGGGAAGACAATCAGAAATGTTATATTATGTATAATAATAGCCTATACAATTCTATGCAAACATTTGCCTAAATTGTATGTTCTATGGAAATTAGACAGAAAAACAGTTTAAAACTTACCAAATGAAGGTGACATAACAGAATCTTAAAGATAAATTGGCTATGCAAATTTGCGTAACTTTAAATTGAGAAAACGGTTGGCTAAATGTGATATGTAACTGCAAATTACAAAAATTTCAGTTAACGATTATAAACAGTACATATGTTTCTGACTCTGGTACTAGATAACTGGGTGCTTTATTAATATACTACCCCAAACAGTGAAAATCCACAGGCCACGGGACAGTCTAATTTTTCAGGGGGTGGTAGATAGGCTGTATGCAGTCATGGGACCTAGGCTGCACTCTCTCGTGGGACTTATGTGGGTTTGGGTTTGGGCCACTTCTAAATATTGTGTGGTCATTAAAAGCATCAGAAAGCCGAGAAACCCAGTCTTACCACCCTGTAAAATGTTGGACTGTCCTGTGACATCATCTGAGGCAGGATATTAATAAAGCACTGATAACTGGTCAGAAAAGAGAGTAATCATATTGCAACTATACCTGTGTCAATAAGATGTTAATCAACTGCAAGTAATTCTGATACTATATTAATAACAGTTAAAAAAAAACAAATATGTAAAAATGTAATAAAGAATCAAGTCAAATGTAAAAATGAATAATAAAAAATGAAACAAAACAACTTTCGTCAGAAAAAAACTGGAACAGTTTATGGCCCACCTCGTCTTGTTAGGCGATGGTATCTCTGCAGACACAGAAAATTACACTTTCACGTATAAAATACTTTTATCTCAACAATTAAAAAAAATATTTAAAAAATACTAGAAGCATATTACGTAAGCCACAATAATTCACACATGAAAAATTAAAACATATGATCTGCCAGAAAGCTGTTCAAGACGCCCATTACCACATATTAGATGTGAAAACAATGGGTAAATAATTTGAAAATATTATAAATATTCTGAATTTGATATTGACTACAACAATTACTCGGCATACATATTTTACTGCATTCAACAGGTTTTTGCAACAACAACAAAAAGTAGCACTGTGATGTTAGTGATAGTAAGCTAACATCACCGTATGCTGTGTGCTATGTTGTGATGTTTAAACAAAGCAGATCTATCATTTTATGATTTGTGTGTTATTTGTAATGATTAAACAGTGTAGGTATGTCATTATATGATTTGTGTGTTATTGACAATGGTTAACATAAGGTTCCTTTTCCACACCTTTAGGTGTATAGGAAGATAGGGCTAGACCTAATTTTTAAAGACCAATCGGCATTTGGTGGGTGATGTATGGTTAAACATAGTAGGTACACATTGTGATGATTTGTGTGCCATTTATAGTTGGTTAAACTGACAAGTAAAGTAAAGATCCCTTTTCACGCCTTTCGGCGCATCGGGCAGAGCGTCCCATATTTTTACAGACCATCAGCACTCGGTGGGTAATGTGGTCAGCATTACGCCGGCTGTCTTTACTTTCCCAGGACAGCCCATCCTGGTACCCATTTTAGGCTGGGTCGACCTGAGCAGGAATATAATTTTATGATTTGTGTGTTATTTGTAATGGTTAAACACAGTAAGTAGGTATATCACTTTAACAATTGTGTGTTATCTGTAATGGTTAAACAGAGTAGATATACCACTTTATGATTTGTGTGTAATCTCTAATGGTTAAACAGAATAGGTGTATAATTTTATGATTTGTATGTTATTTGTAATGTTTAAACAGAGTAGGTATACCATTTAATGATTAGAGTGTTATCTGTAATGGTTGAACATAGTAGGTATATATTTTATGATTTGTGTGTTACATGTAATCTTTAAACAGAGTAAGTATACCACATTCTACTATGGGTTACATGTAGTGCCCTGTGTGCTACACGTGTTGAGTAAGTACATCACATTCTGCCATATGTTACATGTGATGCTGAAACAGTACAACACTCATTACAGTCATTAGTAACTGTCTAATCATGCAGGAAAGTACAGTGGATGAATACTTGCAAGAATGGCAAACAAACATACACAATTTTATATATATATCCCTTTCTACATCAGATGACAAACAGAGATCTGATCTTTTCCAGTCCCAAGCAGCTGTTAATTTAACTCTTCGAGTCCCAAGAAATGCATCATACGTTCATAGGTTCCTACCTAGAAGCCCAATGAACGCATGATGCGCTGATTTTATGACTCTCTTAACTACCCCCTAAGCCTGTGATTCTAAACCCCCTAGGACTCAAAGCGTTAAAGGCAAAATATGCCAAAGTCTGAAGGAATTCAATGAAGACACTATGGGATAGGGGTGGTTCAACTGAAAATTCAATTATAAAGAAGACAGCAAGAACATGGTGTTATCTTTGTCAAACTAAAAGAGGACCCTTTTTCCATGCATACCAGGCATATAGGGCTAGACTTTTTTACAGACCAATCAGCACTCAGTGGCTGATGTAGAAATGTGCACTCTCTTCTATAGGCATATTACATGACAAGGCCCTAATCTCTTTCCCCGTTGTCAAATTGTCATATCCTCTACTTCTTCTCTGGCGTGATGCTCAACACATCAGCCACCAAGTGCAGAGTGGTCTATAAAATATAGGTCTAGCCCTGTATGCCCCAAAAAAAAAAGGATTCTACGTGGTGTAGCAGCTAGACCCTCATCTGTGGATCAGAAGGTCGTGGGTTCAGGCCCGAAGGCATGGAAAAAAAGTCCTATAAACTACTTTTTCTGTGTTTTTGATGCTTGGAAGAAAAAAAAAAAACAGTTGGGACATTATGATGTGGTTTACAGCCAGGCTGCAATACATGCACCCTTCAGCTCAACATATCCAGTTTCTTCAAACATCTAATTATCCACCATTTACGACATGCTTACTTTATACCTATAACTGGATAACTATAACTGGAAAACATATGTTTACATGCTGATTTTTTTTTAGCGAATCAATTTAAATGTTTAATCAGCAAACAGGTGAGTGTTTTTAAACTAAAAAAAAAAACAATATGAACCCAGTTTTGTGGAAGCATATAATTCTGGTAATGTAAACAATGAAAATAATTGGCAGAGATGAGGACAATAAAATCTTATTCCTCTTCCAAATTTATCCCAGCTTTAAGCCATCAGATTTTCATTCAAAATATCTGCTGCAGTAAGTCCCACACACAAAAATGTATACAAAAGTGAAGATTCTTAGATAAATATGTTTTCTACTTCTTACTTCTCCAAGTAATATGATTAACTAGCTTATGAATTAGACATAACGTATGCATATCCAAACTGAATAAAGCTTAGATACTTTTATTTTCATGCATATTGTCAATATGTAATCAGCACAGAAACATATACACTCTGAATTCTGCAACACTTGAATCCACAGCACAAACCATTTGTAAGCAGACAGAAACACCTGAATAGTAAATATTTCACATCGATTTCAAGGTTTTACTAGTGTGGGGAAAAAGGACTCCTGGAATTAATGACAAATTTAGGCAGGTATGACACAGAGCTCTAGTTTCAGTCATGCAGCCAGTTACACTTGTCAAGGCCATCCCATCCACATACATCATCAGGTTATTTTGAAACTGTAAGGCAGCCCAATATAACTGTTTTATATAGTTGAAAACAAAAAAACGTGGGGTGGAGGCAGACTCAATCTCCTTACCATGCATGTTGTAAAAGGCACTAATTAAGAACTTGCTAAAATCGATTGATGTGGTGGGCACAGATTCACAGCCTAGCTGTAAACCACAACACACCTGCTCTTTTCTTCTTTCTTATTTTGTCCTACTTCTTATGAGAGTAGTTATTTGTAGTTTCCTGTCTTCTGCCACTTGCATAGCTTGTGTTAATGTCATATTGCATTTCTCTAGTGTCCCTTTTACTCCCTCTACCCATTTCTTTCTTGGTCAGCCTCTTGTCTTTTAAGGGCAAATAAAGAAGAAGAAGAAATACTATTTACTCAGAGCAACAACAACAAAAAACTGCAATGGAGTTAAAAATGTAACTTTCTAATGGGATCTGTCCGTACTGGAACTACATACTAAATTATTATGTGCAGGGTTATTTATGGAAGTAAAAGCTACATAACAACAGGACTGGTAAACTACAAGTAAAGATGATAACTACCTGGAACATGCTCATCAGGAGCACACTGCATAAGCGGAAAACAAACTTGCGTTTTACCTTTGCAATAAAAGCACAATGACAGCAGATCCTACAAAGCTGATGCACCAGAGTTAGGTTCCCCCATATTTTCAGGGGAAACAAATGATCATAACATTTTTGGTCTTAATTTTCATGTGAGTTGTGTATTTACTGCCGTTTAACTACTTGATGATAGTTCAAACAAGAAAGAAAAATTTACTTTAACACTCATCACGCCTAGGCTAACTTTTTTTTTAAAATGTCATAAACACCCTAATCTATTAACACTCATTCTGATCATTAGGAAATACTACTTTTTGCTCATGTAAGTTGGGTAACTCTTCGATGAGTAATGAGTAGTTCTGGATGAAGATAAGCTTCTGGTGTTTAGTGAGCCTATGTTTGAGCCTAAATATGGTTTAGAAGATGCAGAGTTAGTTCTGTATGCACTTTCACGATATTTCCTGTACAAACTCTCACCTCCGGAAACATCTAGACTTGATGTCCGAGCATAAAGGTGCCGCCTAGGTGCGTCAGACAGTGACGGCAAAGTTCTGGGTAACAACGAAGGTGACGAAGTTACACTCAGAGATCGGTATGATGCCGCTCCTGGCCTACTGCTAGGATGCCATGTTTGAAATGGGTCAAAACTGTACCCATGTGATTTAGTGGACAGAGAGCTTCTAGTGTGAGAAGTGGCTGAAGAGCCTGAAAACTGACTAGGAGAAGGCCACGAATGAAGGATGCTTCTAGACGAAGCAGTGGGTAAACTCTTCTGTTTTTGTAACTCAGGTCTATGCCAAGAACTAGTATCTTTGCTTCTGCTCTTCTGAGATAGAAGTAAGCTAGGGGTGTTCCATGACTCTATCTCCTCTTCCTCATATTTAGATCCTCGTATGAAACTTGATGGGCTCCCAGGAGCACTCCATGGGCCGTACTCTTCTTTTATAACAGATGCTACATGTCCTTTTTCTCTGTGACCTTCTGCAACATCCGACGCACTTGCCTCTGACATTGTCTCCCACAGACTGCTACTGCTTCCTTCAGACCATGCCTCAGAGTCTAACTGATCTAGACTGCCAAATTCAACATCTGAGCTTGTATCACTTTTTCTGCTGGCAGAATCTTCTTCTTCCTCTTTGACATCCACTTCCTTGACTGGGTCTGTCTTTTCTGAAGCATTCTTTTCATCTTGTGACAGGTTTTCAGGCGAATCATGAGCACGAGGTGTGGGACACTGATCATCAGAATCATTATCTATATTCAAGAAGATCAAATTTGAAAGATTTTCACCAAGATTTTCTACTGTAATCAAATCAAACCTTGGATCATCTCTTTTGTCTTCATTTTCCTCAGGTATTTTTGAAATTGTAGAAACTTCCGTCTTTTCTATCCGAACAGTGTGCTGACTGGAAGTACCTTGTGTACTTACAGATTCTGAAGTTGATGCAACAGGTAAAGTCTCAACTGAGGCTGCCAGAGCTTTCTTTGTGCTGTCTTGTGAATGTTGTTCAAAGTTTTTTAGAGCCTGCTTTATCTCAGTTTCATTCTCTTCTTGGAGAGGTAGCTGTTTCGCTAAACACATCTGTG